GTGTTTTACTCTTGCTATGTGTTTTCAGGATTCCCGAGTTTTCCAAAAATATATCCAAGATCATTTGTTGGGATGCATTTTTTATACAGTTATCCCCAGCTTTGTTGGGCTACCAGCAAAGATATCAAGTACTAGAAGAACTCTGCCTTTGACTTTAAAAAATTATTATCTTGTAGCTGTAAGCAAAATGAGCAGCAGGGGATTACAGTTACATGTTACATCAAGCCTTGAAAGCTTCACTTGACTTCTAGCACTGCTAATTTTCTATTTTGAAAAAATAAAATAAAATAAAATAAAATAAAATAAAATAAAATAAAACATTTCTATTTCTGCTTTTGTTTTTGCATTTGTAAAATTAAAAAATTCTCTTACTACCTTGACACCAGGTAAAATCTACTAAGGCTCGTGATATACCCAGATGCCAGGTACTGAAGGCCGTAACCTTGCCTACACTAGTACACTTTCAGCTGTATTACTGTCCCTGGGAAGACAGAGAAATTAATTGCTAACATTTTACTATGGTTATTTGGATTTCAAAATTAGCTGTAGACTACTATTTACTTAGAAGTGATACTTCCTCTCGATGCAGAGAAATCAAAAACACGACTTCTCCTTTTTAAGTGACTTTCCTCTTTAAAATGTATCATAGCACAAACAATGTGTGTGAAAAAGAGAACTAAGTCAGAACGTGCATTTTTGCTATTTACTGCTAATGTTGCCACTGTTTAGCACCTTCTGTAGCTAAGGCAGAGCACTAGATTTCTTCTCCTTTTGACTTCAAGAGAAGACTACCACAATGATCCTTAAAAAGAGATACAGAGGCTATGCAGAATCCCATACCTAAATAGGTAAGTGTGTCAGTTAAAGAGAATTCTTAAAACAAGAAGGGAAGCTGTGCCACTGAATACACACATTCATCTGTGAAGCAAAGAAATGAAATGCTGATGCCAATATACTACACAACTTGAATCATTACAATCAGAAAACATGGAAATTTGCTGAATAGACTTTTCAGTCCATGAAAAATTGTTCAACCAACAGTATGTTAGTGCTATGATTAGCCTGGAAAAATAGGGTTTCCCCCCCAAAATGTGGCATTGAATCCACTTTATGGCCAGTGACATAGCTGACTGGAAAACCAGAAACAACAGCTCACTCAACATTAAGGGTATTTTCAAGGAATTAACACATAACGTAGTATCCACTGAAATCAATTGGGTCTTTGCGGCAACATCCATGAGCATTAGAGAATGCTGCCCTTAGTGAATGTCTACATATCAGCATCCCCCCTAACTTTGTTGCATTTTACAACGCTCGACCATGGAAATTTGCCTTGGGTGAATATTAGAATGGAGACGTCTGTTACCAATGTACTTTTTTTTTTTTTTTTGAAACATTTTTTTTGACATTAAACTGTTTACAGCAGCAAGGTATCATTTTTCATACATCCTCTCTGTATTGAGAGGCAGACATCTAAACTGATCATTCCACTGCTTTCTACCTCACCTAAAATCACAGTGATTCATTACTTTCACTGGTACTAGAATGTGTGGAATTTCTCAGAAGAACTGCAACAACTGAAAACTAAATTAACAAAAATTTGTTGGTGTTCAAAACAAGCACTGCTCACTGACAAGCACGCTGTTATCCTACCACACTATTTTAACCAGCACGCTGGACCTCTGTGATCTAAATTTAAACAGATTCTGTTCCTGTTCCAAGCGATCTGTTCTACCTGGGAGGAGCTCCAGAGCTGATAGCAGAGGGGCTCTATTTTTCATGGACCTCTTGACCTTAGACAAGGGACCAGCAAAGTTGAATGTGGGAATGTCCTAATGGGGTAAGTGAGGTAAGTCTTAGATGCCTAACGGCTTGCTCACTTGTAAAACACCAGAAAGTTGTACAGGAAGGGAATACAGTGCCAGGGAATGCACCATTTCCAGTGCCAGGGAATGTACAGGAAGGGAATACACTGCCAGGGAATGCACCATTTTAGGCTTTCTCAAGCAACAGTTTTCCTCCCATCTTCATGTAACACTCAGAAGCAGCTTATCTCTAGGTTTCAATACATAATTGTTCACAGTGCAAAGAACAGAGACATTTAGACAGACTTGTTGAGAAAGAATCAGAACTAGTTTATGGAAACAAATACAAAGGAGATTTTAGGTCATCTTCTGAATTTATGAAAAAAATATTGCAGTTGCATTACACAACTGTTTATGAAAAACTGTCCAGATACTCTAATTTGTGGTGTACCTGAGCATAGTTTTTCTTACATTGGTAGTCTGTTTCAGTGACATTTCATTTGTTTTAAATGCTACCTGATGTTTGTTCCTAGCTATATGACCCCACCTCTTGCACAAACACAGCAGAAATGAATGAATTTCTTCCACCAATCCTGCCCACATGCTCAAGGAGGGTCAGCAGAGCTTTCCACACTTGCCTTGCAGAAACAGTTACACAGTGGGAAACATTCCTGAAACGACTTGTACTTATTCTCTGGAAAATGTTACAGAACTATCTTGTTTTCCACTGAAGCATAGTTGCTGAGGATTTCATCGCAATTAAGAATAACTGCGCAAGTCCCATTGAAATATATTATTTTCACCTGGAAGAGAAGAGGTAAAGAGAAGGCAAGAAGTTTCAGCAGACTACCAACAAACATTTCCATAGGAGCAGCATGGCCACAACAGTTAGCAAGGAGAAACTGTGACACTTCTCAAGGTGGGGAAGCCATCACTGTATATGCAGAGGTACAGACCCGATAGTCTTAGGAAAAGAAGGTAACACCTGTCACACACAGGAAAAGTAATACCTTAAAGAAAAGGCATTTCACCAGAAAGCCATGGAGTATGAAGGGTTTTCACTAACAGTTGGCTGCAGCTGCATGCTCTGCAAGCATGCCGTGAGCACCAGGACCTGCAGCAGCATCCAGCTGCTCCCTGGCCTACAGACTGAGGGAGAGACAGAAAGGAGGTCTTACTCCTTCTCTCGATTTTCAAGAGGTCTGCAAGTTTTATGTAAATGCACAGATCTCTTGCCCATAGTTTTAAGACAGGCAGGGCACAATAGCACTCATCTTGTTAAAGAACTCTGTCATTTATCTATGAGAGTAATTACAAAAATTGATGAAAGAGGAAAAAAATATCCCATATAAATGTAAATATGTAAAAAGAAATGTATATCCATCACTTGGACTTCACATAATTAGTCCAGTACACTGGAGCACGTGACAAAAATTGTATTTCCCCTTACACTAAAATAAAATAGAGCAAGAATGGGAAACAGACTACAAATGTAGTCTCCAAACCAACAAGGAAAAGGACGTGTGCAAAACCACAGCTCTGTGTCAAGTTTCAAAATTATGGAGAAGAGAAATCTGAGCAAAAACACTACACTGACAGTTGAAGAAATCATGTATTTTAGGGGCTTCCCTGCAGTATTTCTGCACACACTAGACACAAAAGATACTAAAATATGCATCAGTCACAGTACCTCTATCTTTAGTCATTTGTATACATGTAAAATTGCCTTTACCATGACTTTTATTTCAGTAGCTGTGCAGTTTTTCTTTCAACTGCAGCCAGCAATTGTGATGATTGTAGGCACGGTCACACAGCCTTCTAAAGGAGCTTCACAATCCATGTTTCTGCAGCCCTGTAATGGAACCTTTGGGCTGCTCAGTTGTGGGGACAGGGAGCTTTCAGATCCTTCTGTTGAAGCTGTTTTACCCAGCACAGAGGATGAAAACAGACAGTTAGTGCATTCTGAAGAAACAACCCAAAGGTTTGGGTTCTTGTCCTTCTTCCAACGTTTATTTTAATACCTTTATTTGGTGATTATTTACATATATTTATTTATTTATTTATTTTGATCACGAATTCAAACACATCCACAGGAGGAACAGATGCTTCAGCCTCCAGTTTGAGAGTCATGCAGAACAGTTTTCATAAGAACAGCCTTAAGCTTCCTCTTCTCCCAAGCCAGCAGGCTGAGGTTTGTAACCTTACATGTGGCAGAAAGAACTGGGAGTCTCTTCCTAAGCACAGATTCCATTGAAAAAGAGGCGCATAGGCCACTTAAAAGACAGACATGTACTGTGCTTTCGGTTCTGCCAAAAGAGATTAGACCCCGACCCTCAGGAGAGGTTCAGAATTGCGTACTGGATATAGGGCAAGTTATCTACAGTGGCATCTGGTGCATCTTAAAAAGAACATGCAAGTCAATGTGCTGGGCCCTGTTCCAAGATGCTTTACGTTTCTGAGGCTTATAGATCCAGATACCTGAAAAAAGCAACAATCCTGAGTACCTACACGTCTTCATATGATTCAGGCCTATAGAAACAGTATGGATTCCTCAGACACATTTTCAAGTTCTCTGTGATTGATACAAGGAATTTCAGGGAGCTGAAGGTATTCTGTGAACCAGAAAAAAAAAAAAAAAAAAAAGGTATTAACAAATTAAGGAAAGAATAGAAATTGAATATTGAATAGAAATGCTACAGAGGTAGGTACTGGTTTGCTTCACAGAAATCTGCATGTCAAAAGAATTATGAACTGTAAATACAGGTTTTCCTTTAACTGCATCAGATTAGGAACCCTTTTTTCTTTTTTTTTTCTTTTTTTGTGTGTGTTTTGTCTATACTGCACTTTTTCCTGAGAATTTTGAAATTGTCTTTGTTTCCTTGTACCCTCCTGTCAAAGATACCAATTTAGAATAAGTAAGAACAAATGCAAGCAGACCTAGCAAAAACCACTTAGCCACAGTGTCTACAACAAAAGATGAAGTAGACTTTGCCTTATGAAAGCTGTGGTTGAAGAACAAGGTCCAACATGGGCCTTGGGGATCTGAATAGGACTATCAGATATCGCTATCAGCAAGGAGAAAGCACCTTACAGCTTTTGTAAGTATTTTCACCTTTTACAGAGAAAGCAGTAAAAGCAACAGTACTGTCATTTTTTCTACTAACCTTCTGTTGAACTCAGTTTCTCAACTCTTTGATTACCTTTAGGGACTTTTTTTTTTTTTTTTTTTTTTTTAATAGGTTTAGATTATTTTTACTCAGCAAGCCTACAGAGGACTGGCTCAAGTCAGCAGAAGTGTTGGATGCTTCTGTGAGTATGTACAGGCCTTTTACATTTATAGGAGGCAGTCAAACTCGAGCATCACTTCTGGTGAAATCAGAAGACTGCAATTCTGTGACATGAATCCGATCCCTGCTTACTGCAATGGATCTGTGAAGTCACATCAAACTTTTGATAGTTCCTTATTTCTGAAGTTCACAAACTGAAAAATGAAATGATTTGCAGAAGTAACAAGTACCAGGAACTACAGCTGAGAATGTCTGAATGTATCAAGAGATGTATAAAGCTAAGCACACTAAATAGTCTGCATCCCAAGTGCTGGGGAGCAATGCACCCTGACCTAGAAGACAGCTGATGGTTTTGCTTTGTTATGCCTTTGTTTTTGCTCTTTACATGTGACTACAGCATAGTCCAACCAGGAAAAGATACTGGAGTAAAATTGTTAATAATGCAAAACATTTTGTCTCCTGGGTAACTGCACCAGAGATTCCTACAGCTTGAGTTATGTAAGGCCTAAAGCTGCATGGTGATATAGAGAATAAACTGAACTATTTAATAAAAACGTATTTTCTTTTTTTTTTTTTTCTTTCTCCTCACTGAAAGGAACATAGACACTCTTGACCTCTACTCCGAGAACATTGCTAGGTATCACCCAACTGAAAGATGCTATTCTGATCTGTCATGCAACTGCTGTGTGTTCTATTAATACAGAACTACCAGTTACAATAAAGGTATGTACGGCCAAAAAATCCCACAGAAATTGGTGGGGGGGCCAAAACAGCAAATTAGCTTTTACAAATTAATTAAAAGACAACACTATTAGAAATTTAATATTTAAAAGTATTTAATATTTTCTGTAATTTGGCCCATCTCCTTAAAATTTGAGCATTTTATGGAACCCCATCAAAGCCCATAGGTGTATCTAATGCAAGTGAGCTAAAAGTTATTATTGAATTAACAATATTTCAAAGTATTCTGTTCCTCTGAATATAAAACTGTAACTGATATACTTAAATCACAGCAACTCTGATTGAGACATTCAAAATATCCTTGGTACAGTTTAAAGTGCAAGTCTCTGAAACCATGCCAGTGTAGATTCCAGGAAATACTCCAAAGAGAAAGAGAAAATCAGCTGACTTCAGTTAACTGAGTCAACAAAGTGCTGCACTAAACTTAGAAGATGTTCTATTTATTGTACGTGAAAGGAGTTGAGACAGTGGGATGCATAGCAGTTGTATAGCACTGATAATGCTCTACAATAGGAAGGCAATTATTTGTCCTGGGGTGATGAGTGTCCATAACCTTCTGTGTAAAGGCAAGTATACAGAAACAACTGGCAGTTTTGAAATATTTTATGCTATAGATCTTAGCAATTAGGTGAATTCTTAATATATTTCAAAAGTGGTCAAGGTTTTCCTGTATAAAAAGCTGTTTCCCCTCAAAACCAAACCACAATTCATAATTTATCATAACTGAATCTTCAATGTGTGTTATTTGAGGATTTATGGTACCTTTACTGTGTTACTAATATTTCCACAGTTCATATCATTTATATTTTAATAAAAATCATTGTAAAATGTTGGGAATTGGATAGTTTCTCCTGCAAAGTACTAGAAAACACAGAAAATTTCTAATGAACAATGTTTTTCTAATAATTCACACATGAATTCCTTTGCAACTGTATACCGCAGACCCGTACTAAACCTGAAGAATTGATTTGACCAAGGATTCTTTCTAGATGCTAATTTACTTTGAAAGAAAATGATAACCCATGCTACACCTTCAATAATCACAGAATGTAATTTAACAGATCTTTCCAGAGAATACCGCTAAAATTACTTGCATGGTGTAGTGACAATCTTCTGTGGGATTGTTTAAAACATTGTTAGGAAAACAGACAATCCCTGCAGTGAATCAGTGGAGACGAGCACTGGTAGAAGGGAAAATTAAAGAAACATTCATCAATTTTAAATTTAAAAGAATAAAACAAACTGTGCATTCTGTATCTTTATTCAGTGGTATCATTCCATTGCTATTGAAGTCAATTAGCAGCAACAGAGTAGTAAAACGGATAGATAATGCTGGCTAATTCTTGCCTCTCCCACAGAAGTAAGTATTGTCTTTCTTGAAAAAGAACACAGCATACAGTTTTTGCTGGGGCCTTAGAATAAAAAGTTAACAGCTGAAACAATATAAGAACATTATAGAATTACTAAACTCAAACAATCCAACTTGTTGGAAGAACTGTGCTGACAGGTGAAAGAAGAGCTAATACAATAGCTAAAATGAATAATCTGGCAGTCAAAAAGAGGCCAGGCCTCCACTACTGAATACCTGTAACTGCAGTTCTGGAGCTGCTTCTGAGTTAGAAGCTGGCTCTGTTTAAGTTGCTGCTAATTCTCATAAAACCACATTCTCATAAACCATAGTGCCCATTGGTACAGTAAGTGAACTATGTGTCAACTTCAGGTGTGTACAGAATCATTTAATAACTGTTTCTCGTGACAGATCTCAAAGAGATTAACTCTCTCTTCTTTGGGAGTGGACACCTACCTAAATATTTTAATGTTGTAGGCTATCCACCCAGTTACAGACTGCCCGAGTTTTTAGTACAAGCCTGGTGTACTTACTGCCACTGTAAAGTGTTGTTTTAAGGCTATCAAGGTCAAAATATAGCTACCACCATATGAACATCATTGCTTATAAAATATACCTTTCTCCCCTATAATTTGTGTTAATTGCTAATCCTACTGAAAACAGCTCTGGCAGATTTTCTGATGCATTACGTATAGTCTTGCTCTAATAGGGCTTACACAGAACTACTTTGCAATTAATATTTTTAAATGTTCACTTTGGCAGCTTCTGTACTTACTAAAAATATACACTCTGCTTCGGTTAGGTATTTCAGAGAAGCCTACTATGCTGTTATTTGCAGGCTTACGTAATGCTAGTGAGATCTACAAATGACTGATGTATCAGCTCTTCCGTGATCCTTCACTTCACACTTTCCTGCCCGAGTTGTTTCCTTGATGCCTCGCTTCACCGTCCCCCAGTTATTGACCTTCCTGAACGCTTTCCGCTGCCGCTATCGCTGTCTCGTTCCACTTGTCCTTTACCGCTGCGCCATCCACCTGCAATTCAAAGCACACCCCACAGTTCTTCCCTAACCTTTACCAAAGACCGAGCCCCCCCGTTACGCTGGTGGTGCCCACAGCACCCTCATCTCCCAAGCCCACCTCCCCGGCAGCGCGGCCCCGGGCCCCTCCGGGGGTGTCCGTGCGGGGCTGCGGGCGGCCCCCCCGGCTCCAGCCCAACCCCTGGGCCCCGAGCAGGCCGCGGCCAGGGCCCTTTTCCTTGACCCCCCCCCCCCCCCGCCCGGAGGATGAAGCAGGCGGGGACGGCGCAGTCCGGCCGCCCCTCGCCGCTGCCGGGCGCGCTGTGGGGGTCCCCGCCGCAGGCGCTGGGGGACGACACCGAAGACGTGTCGCTGGACTTGGGCGGCGAGGAGGAGTTGGCGCTGCGGAAAGCCCAAATCAGGTAACGACGGAGGACCGGAGCGGCCCCTTCCCGGGGGTGGGGGACACGACACGCGTGAGGCAGCACCCGAGCGCCGGCTGGGGAGGCCCGAGGCCTGAGAGGACCGGCAGAGCCCACGGCAGCCGCCTTCTGCTCAGGGCCGGGACACCCGGCACGCTGCGGGGCGGCAGGAGGGCTCCCTCGTCCCCGGCAGCGAGCTCTGGCACTGCTCTGTGCACCCCGCTGAGCGGGAGCGTTTGTTTGGGGTGGAAGCAGCAGCTCTTCCCACCAAGGGACGGTGATGCCTGGAATATGACACGTCTGTAGCTCTTACCTGGGAAAGCCATAGAACCCCAACACCCTCGGGGTGAGCTGCCTGCAGCTGGGGACCGCACTTTTGTCCTATACGGAGCTTCACCCTTATCCTAGATCACTGCAGTCCATTACAACGTTAATATTCTTGCATGTATAAACAAAGTAAAATAAGAGCTGGACATCTTACCTGAGTTACACAACCAACTGTGCAGCTTCACAGTACGATCACTCAGTTTTACTAGTGTCTGCTGAAGCCTTACAGCCCTTCCACTGCATTGGACTTCGCAACAGGGCGCGTACTTGATGAACCAGCCACAGTTAACATGACCAGAACCACTTTGTTTTCAGTGCATTAGCGGCAGCCCATGGTTTAGATGCAGGTTTGTGTTTTTGTTTGTGTTGTGGTGCAGACTTGGAGCACATGAACAAATGAGACTAAACTGGAAAATACAGCTCCAGGGCACCTTGCACACACCAGCCACAGGTTCAGTCAGTGAGACCAGCCTAGAGCCAGCATGAAGTGAAACTGCTGAAGCATTTGTCTGAGGTCCCAAGGTGCACAGCACTAGTTCCTTGACTGTCGAGATCTGTACTGCAGGCTCAGTGAAGTGTTTAGGGTTGTAATAACTGTAGGCCTCTTGCTCACATACTTTCTCAGTAAACAGTCTTCAAAGTCTGACATCAGAACAGATTCATTCTGTAATTCATCAGTATTCAACAGTAATTCATGATCTGACTTCCAAAATACAGCACTATGACTTCTCCAAATAGCTTTTATTGCTAAAACATACCATTCATGGAACTCTTGTGTCCTGTTTGAGATAGCAAGGCCATGTCTGGGGTTGAGAGTTCACAGGAATCCCTCTTCTCCCCCCACCTACCCATCTGCTAGGGTCAGATAAAGCTCCTTTCACTTCAAATGTCACATGTTCAGTTTTTAAGTCAGAAGTAGTTTTTGGAAAGTTTGAGGTTAGTGTGGGCATGATCAGGAAGGAGTAAATGTAAACTTCAGCTGCATGTCATTCTTGCTTGCCCAGGCAAGCACATTTACTACTACAAGCACATTTCCATTATAGACTAGTTAATTTCTAGAATAGGCACATAGGAATAACATTCAAATAAAGATATAAACATTAATTCTAATTTAAATGTAATTATATTTCAAATTTATGGAGAATTATAATTACTGTATATATGCATCATTTTTAATTATACATAATAGAATTGTTAAAATTAATTGTGGCTTGGGCCATACTACTGTTAGTTGTTTAAAGATGTAGAGGGGCATCACTGATGGAAAAGTTATTTGGAAAACAGATTTTATTCATTCCAGTTTTAAAGGAAGAAGTTACTTAAATGGAATGTCCATTAAATTAATCTGGTTAATTGTCATTTTAAACTAATTAACAGAAACAACTATACAGTACAAGCTTTTGTACCTGGCATGTTACACTTTACTGTGCTTATTGCAACTTTTCTCAAAACCCATGTCTTACTGTACAGGCCAAAATTCAGTTCTTCATAGTTCTTGTTCCAAAGTTTCCCTTTATTTCATAATAGAATTGTTTGATAAGGAAAGCACAAATATCTAACAAAGTTAATGATCATTCATTCAAAAGACCTGTAAACTTCCTTAATTGTACTTCCTCTGTGAAAGGACATTTCTCAGTCATTGCATACTAAGGTTCATTTTGTCTTATGCTATATTTTTTGTTTTGATTAAAAAAAACAAAAAACAACTTCAGAGTTCCCATTCATGTTTTCAAAATACTTCTGAAAGGCACGAGATCTGTCTCAATTCTACACTGACTGATTTCATGAAATAAGTTCGGAGTGCAGTGGTGAATGCAACCACTAGATTCCTTCATGCAGTACCAAGGAAATGGATGAAAGAATGCAGATTTTGTGCCATCTTAGAGGAAGTTTTAACATGAACAACATATCTTCTAGCTGTTGGAGATTGGTTATTGGAAGAATTATCACTTTGGTAATACATCAACATATGAAATAACAGCAGATACAAATGGAGATACCGTTACAGACTAGAACTACTTGTGTTATACTGCACTGTTAGCAAGTATAAAACTGCCCTTCTTGTCCCATAACTTCCTAAGTGCTCTCTGTTGTTTTTCCAGGCACCCACTGGCTACCTTTTTCCACCTGTTTTTCCGAGTGAGTGCTATTATTACCTACTTGTTCTGTGACTGGTTCAGCAACAGCTTTGTTGCCTGTTTTGTCACAATTCTCCTCCTTCTATCCTTTGACTTCTGGTCAGTTAAGGTAAGATGACCCTGAACAGTAATTACCTTTGAAAGTATTACGTGCCATTAAATGAAAATGATAAGGAAGAAGTATACTGAACAGAGTGACAAAAACACTGATCTGTAGATCTATTAAACGTGTCTGACACATTTCATTGAAGACTTTTACATATCTTTAGTCACTGATATAAGTTACACATGGTGAGCAAGTTGCCTTGCCATAGGCAGATTTGTCTGTACACTTTCCGTCTTAGAAAAAATAAATTAACACTAGCTTTCAGTAATGGATTCCCAAGGATGCCCGAAGATTCAATTCTGTGCCTCGCTGCCAGTGTGCAGGAGCTTCGTGATGCTGCCGGGAGCCCAGCTGAAGCAGCAGTGCCCTCGCCATGGGCTGGCAGCTTGGTCAGGCCAGCCTTGAAACCCCAGAGGTTCAAAACAGAACGATGCTTCTGCACTGAAGCGAAGAACTCATTTCTCAGGCATCCTGAAAAAAATACAGTATTCATCCAGGCACAAAAATGTTGTCTTAATTTGCTTGATTCCAAACTTGTTTATAATTAATCTTTCATTTTCCCTAAATGTTTTTGTTTTGTGTTCTCCTCTCTTACTAAGAATTTATCAGAGGCTTCTCCAAGATACTGACTTTGAAAGGGCACATCCTATAATTTCTTACCTAAATCAATGTTACTGTGCTACTTATCACATGAGGAGAACAGGCCTCTAATTTCTATTAACTCATCCATCATTAGTGACTGTTGCGCACAGGTTGACATAGTTTTTAGAACTAAACTTACTATTTGATAAAATTATTATTTTTTAAGACATTTGTCTTAATTTTAAATGTTGTCTGACAAGTGAATTGTGCACTTGGTTAATGCAAATAACTGTGTCACCAGAATGTGACAGGAAGACTCCTGGTTGGTTTACGTTGGTGGAACCAGATTGATGAAGACGGAACAAGCCACTGGGTATTTGAAGCAAGAAGGGTAAGAATGATAACGAAAATAGGTTCAGGACAAACAAGAGTGCATATGAAAGCTTGTAAAATCCACACTAATTCCAATAAAGGAACAAAAAAAGTAATTGCTACAAAAACGCTCAATATCTAGTTTCTTTAGAAGATAAAACAAGTATTCAGCTGCAAGCACACCATGTTGTCAGTTCCTGGAAATATTCAGCAGAGGTCTTGCAACATTTCCATCACACTCATCATCAGAATAAATATTCATATCATGGTTCTATATATGACATTTCTGGTAGTTCTATTTTAATTTCAAGTGAGAACACCTTGTAATAAACACATCTTCCCTTAGTTAATTACAAAAGGGAGTTCTCGTCAGGAAAGAGCTAGGTTGAAAGCAAGGCTGAATAGTTCAAGTTCAGTTTTTAAAAGTTTTTTTAGAGTTTTATTTGTGCTCAGGGAATATGCTGGGCTGTAGTACCTGGATCACAGAGCATTCCAACACTGCTAGTACTTGCCCAACACCCTGAGCAAAAAAAAGACGAACAAAAACCCAAATTAAAAAAAAAAAATGGCATTTGGCAGTGCCTTCAGGGTCAAGATTAAACAGTTTTCATGTTGGTTTCCTAACATTGTCCAAAATCCCAGTGAGGCAAGCGGCTTGTAGAACAGCACTTGAAGTGCTGCTGACCCAGCTGTGCACACACCCCAAGTGCAGAGTCCAGCATAAAACACTGAAGGTGCAGGTCTGGAGCCCTGCCACAGCCAGTGTGGCTGCACGCCAGTAAAAAGCTAAGAGATGCCGGCTTTCTGCCTGTAAGCCACATGAAATTGGGAATACAGGAAAGTCTGCAGGAAAGCAGATAAGATAAAAGACCTCCAGAGTATCTTAGTTTCGTTGATCTGTGGCAGCAAGCAAGAACTTTCTTAGATCTTAAAAGCAAGGGTGTTCATGAGATCACCTCCTGACCGCAGTATTACCGTAACATGAGTAATCATGTTCCCTAGTTCACTTACTACAGTTTGTTAATTCCAGTCTGGAAGTACAAAGTCAACTCACTCCTATGGGCTCAAGGCCTCCAAAACTTGTAGCAAATAGTTTGATACTATGTTCTATACTATGAAAATCAAAGTATAGCATGTAATTAGGGTGGACTGTACTTGGTCATGGCTTGTCCATAACTGCTTTATCATTTATAAGCTCCAGAATACACACAATCAATCATCTTACTTTCCAGAGTCCCCACCTCCCTTCCCAGTTCTCTGGCAGCTTTTTGAAATCTCTTCCTCTAGGGAGTGGATCTGCTTAGAAATATTCCAAGTCACTTGCTAATAACAAGCAGCCAATTCCTGGTGCACTGCTACTGGGACAGAAGTTCAACCTAGATTTTTTTTTATTTTTATTTTTTAGGGGGCTGCAGCCTTTTTTAATCTTGCTCATCAAGTTAATTAGTTCTTTCAGGTGTGGAGTTCTGAGGTGCACTGAGATTTTTATTCCCCTGCATAGTTCGTGCTAATACCCTGCTGGGTAATTTGTCAGTAGTTCTAGATACAGGTGATGAAGCTCTTTTACTGACTCAGAACATCTTTCTTTTTCTGTAATTGTGAAGGCACAGACCTCACTGGTTTAGAGTGTATTTTGAAAAATTAGACACTTGCTAATTAACGCATCTTCAGGATTTTCTTTGGCGCAATAGAGTAGCTTAACCATGTTTGCTGGATACCACCATCTGTCTAACATGGGATGGATAGATGAATCTTATTTTCACATGGAGAACTCTAGGTACTGAACTAAGAGTCTTTTCAGTTTTCAAACTCCACGGTTTTCCTTTCCTGCTGAGAAGCTCGTATTTCAGAAGGTAGCACTGGTAATGGTTGAATGGCCTGATGTTTGGTGTGTGATTTTGAATTCTGTTCTCCCAGGAAGGATCAAAACCTTCAGAGCAAATCTCTGCTTGGTTTCTCTTAAGTGCTTGGAGCTAACAGTGATCCTTTTGAGTTGTGCTGACTAGAAGAAATCCACAACCTTTTTTTTTTTTTTTCTGCCTGCCTTGAGGCTTTTGGTCTCCCTGAAGAATGCAAATAGAGCACCTTGAATGATGAGAGGCGCCAGCAGTTGCTGTGGTGCCTAACAGTAGTGTTAGGCATTTTGAAGCTACATCTTAATTTATCAAATATCAATAGACATCATAAGCAAGACTGAACTGTTAGTTTACATAATATAAAACTAAGCATCACACCAGGTTTAAATTAAATTTAAATTAAGCTATACGTGTTTTTATAAAAAGTGTAGAAATGGACACTTTTATGAGAATTTCATTGTCTGAACTGGAACCAACTGATCAATCCTGTGTGCATCTTTAAAGTTTGCTTGTTAGCAATTGGAATAGATACTCATTGCCACATTAGATATTATAGTTGTTTTCTGATACTACACTAATTTTTTTCCCAGTGCTTTTGACTTGTGATCATGGCACAAGTCACAAAACTACTCCTCAGACTGCAAAATACTCACACTGAAGTTCTGCTTGTAACACTGTCTTCTGTTTCACATGTCTCTGAGCCCCTGGTAAAGTTTGAATCTAATATCAAATTTAACTTAGTCTTTCTGAAGTTTAACAGCAATGGCTAGCACACAGAACTTTTGACTACAAAATACTATTAATCTGTAGCATTAGTGGCAACTATCTTTGACAAAATGAATGGATTATCTAATAAGTGAGAACAGGAAAAAGAAAACAGTGCATTTTGAAAAGAAAATACTGTCATGTACAGTAGGACAGCATGCAGAAAATTTGGCATCAGTGACTTCTCTTCCTATTGAAACCACCCTGTCTGTATGCATATAATATATGAAATTTGGGTAAACAAGTAGTTTTGTCCATTCCTCCTCCTCCACTGATTTGTTACTTATTATGGGTTTTGTCTTTGTGACTAAAAGTTTCAGTAATTTTCTTGCTAGGTGTCTATGATAGCTGCCTCAACTGAAGCTGAAGCTCGAATCTTTTGGCTTGGCCTCATTATCTGTCCCGTCATTTGGACTGTATTTTTCTTCAGCACCTTGTTTTCACTGAAGCTGAAATGGCTGGTAAGTCTGGCATTACTGAATGAGCTACAGCAGACAAGTAATGTTAATTGAGGGAAAACCCAGATCTGTAGTTTTGCAACAGTCTTTGTACCAAAATCTACAACGTTACAAAAATCCCCCTAACAGTTTCAAGGAGTCAGAGGAGTTTTCTGCAATCAAGCCCTGCAATCCAGAATGGATCATTTTTAGCATCACTTTTACTAGATTAGCAACTGTAGCTACAATTAGCTACTTCAATTAGCTCCAGTAAAGCATCTTAAGTAGTTGACAGAATTGCCACCTCATTTTTAACTGTAGCATTTTACTTTTCTCCAACTTCTTTATTGCTGTCAAAAGATACTAGTGGGAGAGAACAAAAAGTGAACCAGAAGTGCTGGCTTTCAGGTTTTCACATCTCCTCAGGACTCGAATGTTATTAGCTCTTAAAAGTAAGGATTTTAGATTTCTGGTATCATTCCCTTTTGAATGGACCAGTATGAAAGCACTTAAAAATCTAGATAAATTAAGATGTAACTATATAGTTTATAATTATTGCATTTATAAGTCATCCATTCTACGAAGGAAAAGCAAAACATTACACATTTTCCTAAATAGAAATTGTACCCCATATATTGTATTATGCTGATGCTTTGTCTATGAAATTTGTTTTCCTCTGTAAACTTTTCTGTTGTGCTTGCATAATCACCATAGAATACATTTCATCAAGTTCTGAACTGTGCAAAGTACAATTTTATTATTAAAGATATAAAGTATCTTGCATACCCGCTGCTACAGAACAAATAATAACCAAGATTACATTTCGTTAGTAAATGAAATGGGAAATTCAGGTAATGGGTATGAATCTATTGCAAATCATTAACTGCTTTCTTAAGCCCCAAGTGGCATAACTATACAAGCAATAGTTAAAATTAAACCAGCTGTCTTCCTTCACAGCTCCACCTTTAGTTTTGAAAAACAGATTGTTTGCTAAGCAAAGAGCTAGATGGAGAAGGAACCTAAGCTAGCGCAGAAGATGCAAGTTGTTCAGGTGCTTGTAAAACCATGTTACCCAAATGAAAATTTGATAGCTTCCAGGAAATTAAGAAAAACCTTATTTTATCAGTTAATTAATTGGATTTTGCCTGCTGCTAAGCCTCTAGCACCATGAAAGGACCTACTCATTTACACTGCCTGCAAACGATGGATATTGATATACATCTGTCGATGCTATTTGTAAATCTTCAAGTTACAGGATCTTCTGTGTAATAAGGCATTTGGCAGCTAAACATGTCTGCAGGCCTGCTGTGTGTTTGGATGTGAAGCTCTTAGATACAATCAGGCTTAAAAGATGAAATGATTATGGAATTGATCAAATAGGTGCTTTTTTGTATAGGTGCTCTTAGGAAAGTAATGAGGTTTTTCAAAATGCAGAATTACCTCAGCTAGAAAAAAAAAAAAGCTGCACAATTTTGATAAAAAAGGCATTTTGCAGAAAGGGACTACAATGTTTAGTATGGTTGGATCTCTTTTATGGTCCTTCGTTATTTGAAGGGATATTCCTTTCTTACAGCATTTTTGTATAGAGCATGCGTATATATTCTAATGCATAGTCTACATATATGGCAGTATATTTGTCCCAGCCAATCTTTTGTTTGTCCGCAGGCTCTTGTGATAGCTGGGATTTCCCTTCAAACTGCTAATTTATATGGATACATCCACTGCAAATTAGAGGGACAAAAAAGCATCGGCAGAATAACTTCAAGATTTTTTGTCACAGCAGATGTTCCCAAGAGTAAGTACCAAGCCGGACTGTCAGCTATAAACCAAGAGGTATCAAATGCTGACCTGTTGGTTTTGGCTTTTCCTGGTATTAGTTCCTAATGTAGATTCTGACAGGGTTACCTTGATTCTCCAATAAGCCATTCTTGTGCGTTGTCAGAGGGGCTGTACCCCATAGCAGTCTGCTCTGTACTCACGAGCCTTGCTGAAGCTTCACAACTGAGTTGCTTGCAAGGCCCATGAAGAATTTCCTCTAAGTTAAAGCTTCAGTATGATGCTTTCTGAAGTACTGTAATGCCTAGGCACAGCTGGAAGAACAGTCTTAAACCCTGAGACTTCCACCAGCCTTTTCCGTTTATGATTCCTACATAATGGGTTATGGTCACACCTGCCTTTCCTGTGTTCATTCTGCAGGACAGACAAGAATTTCAGATGACTGCATTGAAGAACATGGAAAGACGGGCACTAGATAGTCATTTAAGGAAATAATAAAAAGACAACCGGTAAAAACACTGATTTATGAAAGCTGTTTTACATATTAAGTTACTGAAATGAAGCTCTTCTATAATTATACCTGCATGAAATAATGATTTTGTCATTTGTGTCTTCAGACTGAAAGGATTATAGCCTTTGGTAAAGACTCTACTTACTTCAAAATAAGACTTTCACCAAAAGGCAGTTTGCACAGGCATGATGAGAACAGTGCTTGTGGTTTACACAGGACTTTCATGAGCAGACCTGTCCTTGAGAAAAAACTGTGAATTAACCTGAAACTATTGGATTATCCTGAGAATATAATCAAAAGACAATGATCACTTGTTTCATTTTCAAACTACAGTTAATAAAATGAAATTACCTTTTCCTCTTGTAGACATCACTGATTTCTCAGAGCTGATTCTGCGGTAAAAAGCAAAATTACAATCGTAAAGGGCCACTTGGTTATTTAAGATACCAAAAATTATTTTTTTTCTGTATTCAGGCTTAAGATCTAGTAGAAGAAAAAAAATCTTGCAGCAAGTTCACAGTGCACTTGTGTGGAGCAGCCACAGTTAAGTAATTAAAATATATTTATTTTATTCAATACCTGTAATAAAATATTGTATTTATGCTGTGATCATAGCTGCCTAAACTCCAGCAGGTTTTTATTTTAAAACTGATGCCAATAATAAAAAAAAAAAAGACATAACTTCAACAATTCTACTCAAAATATAGATCTTTTACACTGAAAGAAAAAAATACTTATGGGATGTTTTGCAGTAAGAATGTGGGCATTACAATTAATCCAAGTGCAGAGGGTAGGGCGAAGCCTACTACACATGCATATTAGATTCTTCAGATACAACATCCCAACATCAGTGAAATGTATTTTATGTTCAACTTTGTGAACAGAATCTTGCATACAGATGTTTTCAAAAGTCAACTTCATATTCACGTTATTAGTATGGTGACATTGAATTCAGATTACACCTTTGTAACACAGATGTACGTTTTTGTTTGTTTGTTTGTTTTGTTTTGTTTTAAACTTTATAGCAAGCTTTGAGATGCCTGTGAACTTCAAGGAAATTGAAGTTCAATTATGGAAATAAAAGCCTAGGGCAAAGACATTAATAATAAGAATTTATTTGCAAAATACAAAAAGAATACATTCCTTCTATTAAATCAAGGCATAAGTTACTTTTCTATAATTACACATGAAATACATTTTTACTTCACTCATAGTTAGATAATCTTTTCTTCTTGAGTATGTTGTAGATCACAGTATTCCTGAATCCCTGGAGAGACAAGGGAGAAAGTAATACAGATAACACCTCAGTTGCATATCAGGCATCAGCCTGTCTCCTATCAGTACAAATATCACAGTTTAGGCCTTAATCAGCACTAAATGACCTTAGGAATGTCCCCAGCTGTTGGTATTTAAAAAACTGTGTGTCATCTGCTCTTAAGGTTGTGTGTTTTTGTTTTGTTTTGTTTTGTGTTTTTTGTGTAATTTCAATTAGAGTGAAGGCAATAATTAGCCAGCTATATCTTCCTCAGTAAGCTCCCCTCAACAGGCACGCTGAACAACTGCTTAAGAGCAAGCATATACACATCTTTTCTGAAAATTAATGACTTACACTAAACATTGAAACTGGTTATTAAATACAATTTAGTTATTGCTTTATAAGCCTATCATAACTGATGAACAAAAGTAAGCATTGTACTTGTGTATGTTACTTTCAGAATTGCTATACATATGTACTGTGCTTCTTTTAATAGTATGTGGCAGAATAACATAATTTTGTTTAGCACCTTTATGCACTGCCAAAGGAAACGCTCAGAATGGAAAAGGATTCACTTGCACTGAGATTTCCAGACTTACTCTGAATGATGTTCCTGTAAGATGCTGTAGCTGGAGACTCAGGTGCTTCAGACAAGAAAGACTGACCTTTGTCACAACTTTTTCCTTAAAGGACAGGGAAAAACATGAAAACATACCAAGAGAAAAATTAAAGAATTTGTCTTATTTTAAACTTCATCCTACTAGAAGTTATACCCTTCCAATGAGCCACTTCATCTGTTCCTTCTAAGAAGTCATTGTGTCAGTAATACAACAGCTTAGCTTTACAAAGGAACACTATCAATAGAAAATTTCAGTCGTTATTTTGAAAGTACTGAACTGTTCCTTATGCCATTAAATCAAGTGTTCATTTCTAATAGGTGGTGGGTAAAGAACCAAGACATCCCACAATCCACAAGAGGATTTGAGTCATGCCAGTAACATTGGGTAAAGCACTAATTTTAGCGCGTAGTATTTACAAGATGTTGTTATTGGTAGTAGTTATGAATTTATTAATTCTGTAGTTTCACATAATTATATTGAAGAGAAAGACACAGTGTACTTAGAATACAATTATACAGCTTAAGAGATATATGATATAACCTTTATCAAAATGAAATTTCATGTTAAGTAAGTTATCCTAGCACTTTTCTCTTTTCACACCACGCTGTCTCACACTTCCAGTAACTTTTGATTCAAATAAAAATTCTATCTGAAAGCAGCTATTTACCCAAGAGACAAAAATGTTTAACGTTCCAATGTACCAGTGTCTAGGTCAGGCTTTCAAAGTAATAAATTCAGTACAAGATGAACAATTTGTTTTAAATGTAGTGCAATATGGTGACTTTACCTATTTGAGGATCTAGAGGCACTTTACCCAGGAGGGAAACGTTTAAGTTCTGGCACATTTTCTCTGCACCTCCAGTAGTTGGGGGAAAGATCTGAGATTCATTCTAGGAAAACATGAGTTAAAATACTGCACTTTAGAGTATACGGCATTTTTGGAGAAATGTTTTATATGCAAACAACATCAAGATAAAGAAGTGCTGTAAGATACAGCTAGCTTTACCTTACATTTTGGACATATAAAGCCACTCATATTTTCCACAACACCTATGATTGGCAGTTTCACTTTATGACAGAAGTTGATCTCCTTCCGAACATCCTGAAGTGATACTTCCTACAAACATTAGAAAACACTGCTACTTTGAATGTAATAATTTGATGTTGAAGCTACTAAGTTAATCCTTAGAACTATGTTAAAGTTTATAATCAATTATTACTGTCTCTTCATATTTTGAAGAACATAAACCTGTACTATGTAGTCCACCAAAAAAAAATCTCAGAATAACAGTAGAACAGGCTAAAACTGTTCTAGCCCTACAGAATGTGGTTTTATTTTGGAAGCTGACTCGACTCTAGTGTAGATTCAGCCATACCTATGTTTTATCTCTCATATTCATCTTCAATAGCTAGTTCTTTAAAATGGAACTTTCTCACATGTTCAGTTTACAGAAAGATCCTTGGCATCGTCAACAGCAGAGAAAGACAAGAACCTCTAGGCTTACACTTAATTTTTTCAAGTTACATTTTAAATAGCTTATCATCCCCTCAGTTTTTGCATATGTGCCTGACCTCATTTAGTTCTCCTTTTTCCTTCTCCTTTCCTCAACACCTATCTGGTATTGTCCTCAGCATTCCATTTCCTTTACATTTTATATTCTTTCAAGTGTTGTGAAAACGCTAGCAGAAAACAGCGAGTATTATCTCCTATTTCTTTCCAAACCAGGGATTAAAACCAATGTTTGAATTTGATAACTTTTAAGTTTCAGCTCTCCACAGTCAGATTTTTCTTTTAAGAACAAGCATCACAGAAATGTGCCTAATTTCCATTTGCAAGTCAGGTTTTCCTTGAGATTGTAAGTCTGTGTGACCTTCCTCTACTCCCTCTGACTTATGCAAAGGCCTAAACTTCTTACTGAATTCTGGACATTAAGCTATTGGGAATTACGAATTCCCACCTATGCCAACTCTGTTCTCAAAGACGAAAGTGAAATACTGCATTTCACTTCACATTTCAGATCACAACTGTTGTTGGTGAACAGATACGTGGTTTAGTGGCTCATTCAGATGGATGCCTCAGTGGGGTACAGGGCCTAACTCATAAAGCAGCCACCTGTATGCACAAGGTCAGTCACTTCCCTCAGATTTTGTACCATCCTTTCTCTGAAGTTAAATACAGATTCTAAATCAAGGAACTGCCATGATGTTTCAATCAATGAAAATTAAGTTCTCTTACCTGAGGGGTAGTGATTATAACAGCGCCATCTACATGCGATGCACCAAGATACTGCACAATAGACAAGTGTTCATCTGATGTTCCTGGAGGCGTATCTATTATCAAGTAGTCAATTTCACCCCAGTCCACATCACGAAGAAATTGCTTGATCAACCCTAGAAGAAAGGATTAGAATGTGTGATGAACAGAAAAGAAAAAAAAACAACAACAACAACAAAAAAAACGAACATTGTGTGTTTCAAGGTTTAGAGACTACTTCAAGTTTTAGAATCTAGGTATTAAGATTCTTCTGACTACAGCCAATTTAAGTACAGAAATGCTTACTTTGCCAAAGCTTAAAAAAAATATGCTCATGCAAAAACTGACTCAAAAAAACAAAAAAATGGTATACGTACCATTTTTTTTTGGTCCTCTCCAGATGACAGCATCATCAGGACTACTGAGCAAGAACCCCACTGACATGACACTTAAGTTTTCTTCAACATACTAAAAGAGAAGAGAAACTTAGTAGAGAATACCGAACAGTAGAGAAAGAGCAGAGAAACCAACTCTAAACAGTCTTGTAGAAAAAGCAGCTTGAGAGGGGGAAAAAGATTAAAAAACAACGGCAGAGAACCTTATTCTACCCTTTTAACAAACGGCTTTAAAGACTGCATAGGTTTTTCTGCAACTCTCACCAACTGCATTCATAGATTGACAAAAAACTAGTTCTACTAAGTGTTACAGTGTTATACGGAATCCCTGCGAGCAGTGTAAGGACAAAAGCAGCTCTCCCTCTCAGCATCAAGCTGTCTTATTAGCAAGACTCACACTGAATGTGGTCTTTAGAAACCAACAAACCACCCAACCTGGCATTTTCCCTGCATTTTGTGAAGATTAATGAGTTTTTTTTGGGGAGGATGTAAGATACTTTCTGTCCATCGCTGAAAGGTTGGCATACTGTACATGTATAGCTGCATAATAGCCAAATACAAATATCAAGTAACCAATATTTATCGCCAATAGCATAGTAGAAAAGCCTATAAAGCAACAGAAATATAGTAATAAAGCCATTTTAAAAATATAGTATTATGATTAACAAAAGAAATTTAACACTGATATAACATATAGCCAGATTCTTTAGAATCTGCATATGTAATTAAGAAAAAAATTAATAGAATAAGTATCCTCCGCTTCTCCCCATCCTTAAACATAGTACAAATTCACAGGGCAAACTCATTTTGAAACAACTGCACCAACTTACCACTGGTGACCATCCAGATCCACTCTGATGAACCTGAAAATTGAAGTGATACATACAAAGCTACATTAGAAAAAAATGCAAAAGTTACACAGAGGATGAACCTAAGTCAAAACTGGATAAACAGATACCTTGCCCATGGGAGCAATGCCACTTCACTGGAACAGCTGAATTAAATAGTGCAGAAAGGCCAGATCTCCATTAATAAGTGAACTGCTTAACTCCTGCAGAAAATTCCCCTGTGATTTTATGTATTTATATGAAACATTCCAGGTTGGTAAAGAGCATTAGGCCTACATTACTGACGTTAACTGCTCACATGTATCACAGAATCACAGAACTGAAGGGGTTGGAAGGGACCTCAAAAGATCATCAGGTCTGACCCCCCTGCCAAAGCAGGTTCCTTAGAGCAGGCTGCCCAGGTAGGCATCCAGACAGGCCTTAAATATCTCCAGAGAAGGAGACTCCACAGCCTCCCTCCCTGGACAGCCTGTTCCAGTGCTCTGTCACCCTCACCCTGAAGAAGTTCTTTCGCGTGTTGGTGCGGAACTTCCTATGCACCATCTTGTGACCATTACTCCTTGTCCTGTCCCCACAAACCAGTGAGAAGAGGTTGGCCAAATCCCTCTGTCTCCCACACCTCAGGTATTTATACACATTGATGAGATCCCCTCTCGGTGTTCTTTTGTCCAGGCTGAACAGACCCAGGTCTCTCAGCCTTTCCTCATAAGGAAGATGCTCCAGGCCCTGTATCATCTTTGTGGCCCTCCGCTGGACTGTTTCCAGGAGATCCTTGTCTTTTTTGTACCGGGGAGCCCAGGACTGGACACAGTATGGGGTGGATATGTGATAGATATGGAGCAAAAGCTGGTTTGCAGAACTGAAAGACACACAACTCTTTCACAAACTAAATCATGCCAAACTCACCCATTTCATCTAATTTCCCTGCCTACTGTCACACGTTTCCCAGTAAACATTAAGCCTTCAATCTATGTAAAACTGAAACATGGATGAAAAAACGGTAGTGCTTTTCAACCAGACATTTGAGCCCTCCCCTACAGAAGCAATATGAGCATACCTGCTCTCCTTCCAGACCCATCATCTTCGGGATTGACGGCCCACAGATGTCTATGTCCAGCAGAGCAACCTGGAAAACAAAGCACCGCAGCCCCCTGGGAACGAGCCGGCACGGGGCCGCTTTCGAGGGCCGGGTCGGGGAGGGGAAAGCTCCGCGCAGCGGGCACGGTCAGAGCCCCGGGGCGAAGCGGCAGGGGTGGGGGCAGTCACAGCCCTGCCTGCAGCTCGGAACACAGCCCCGTGGCGCCCACCCACCTGCTTGCTCTCGTCTGCCGCCAGCCCGTGGGCCAGGAGGGCGCTGAAAGTGCTCTTGCCCACGCCGCCCTTGCCGGACAGAACCAGCACCACGTGCTTCACGCACCGCAGCCGCTCCCGCAGCGCCGCCGCCTCCGCTGCGGGGTGGCACGGCCGCAGTCAGCCACCACCGGCCCCCGGTGGTGGGCCCGCCCCCGCCCGGTTAGCCCCGCCCCCGGTACGGCCCAGCCCCGCTCCCTCAAGGCCTCCCTCACCCGGGTCCGGGCCGGCGGCGCCGGCAGCGCACAGCTTCTGGTTGGGGCATCCCTGGCAAGCGGCGGCCCGGCCCGCCTGGACGCTGCCGGTCCCCGGGCAGTCTGCAACGGACAAGGAGAGCTGGGGCGCGGGCACCGGCGGCGGTCACAGCCCCAGCCCACCCGCCGCGCCCCTCACCCTCCGGCGGCGGCCCGCCCGCCGCGTCCGCCATGGCGCCCACCGCACGTCACATCCGCCGGGCGCCGCAGGGGCGGTGCTGCAGCGGGGCGCGTGCGCGGGCGGGCGGAGCTGAGCCTGAGAGGGGAGGGTCCGGGACTGAGGAGGCGAAGGTCGAGGAGCGGCCGGGCTTAGGGCCCGCGCTCCGTGTTGGAGCCACCGGTGGCCGCTCGCGAGGGCCCCAAACAGAGCCCGGCGCCCCGCTGCCACCCGTGTGCTGCCGGCACCGTGCGGCGGGGAGGTGGCGTTACGCGGCATAAATGCGCCATGATTTCCTCTCTCTGAGGTTGTACAGCTCTGAGATTATCCCTTCAGTAAGATAATTCCATTGCCATATTTCGTACCAGTTCTGAGTATATTTATTTCCGTTCCTTGCTATTACACAATTCATTCCCGTTAATTTAATAAGCGCATTCATTTGCAAGATTTTTCTACCTCGTTTTGGTCCATCAGCTTCTAGCAGTCTGATAACTGCTGTGTATGTAGGTAAAGGTTACTAAATCCACAAACCAAGGAAGCGTGCGCTTGGCTGTGGTGCAGTCTGGGCCTTGTTACCAGCACCTTATCGTGACCGCTGCCTCTGTCCACTTCCACGATAAACCAACACTTCACCTGCCTAAAAGTTGTGGAAACTGCAGCTGTAAAGCTGAGACCCGTACAGATACCAGCAAAGAATCCCTAACGGTAATTCACATTCAGCAAAAAACAATTCCTGTCCCCAAGGGCTTGTGATCTAAATAGAGGTGAACATTGAACAGAACCGTTTTTAGTCTCATGAGAAGGAAAATGTTTCTTTGTCAATCTTTTTACCTTCCCTTCATTTTTTTCCATTACCTATGTACACAGTTCTTGCAATGCTATTATAACTAAAACAGTGCAGAGGTGCAGCCATTGCAGATGCAGCAGCAGCCATCTGAAAGTAGTAACGTGAGTAAAATTTGTGGTTTTGCACAAGTTAAACCTTCTGAATAAGACTTTAAATAGTACAACCAATTTGCTTGGAAAAAATGCACGCAATACTGAGAGATGGAGTTAAGAGAATCTTATCAAGTAGAGATAGAGCCCCGACAGCATTAAACTAGGATGCTACTTAGTGTCTTTGTTAACTATGGTACATTGTGCAAATTAACTAAAGCAAGAAGCCTTGGGCCCCTTACCAAGGTCAGTCACCTAATAAGAGTGTGAGCCTATCTTAAGAAACTGGTAGAAACTGGTCCTGCGGACGGACAAGAGCCAAGGAGCAATGGAATCTGCACAAAGACAAGAGGTCAGCTAGTGGTGATGAGGAAGAGTCATCAATCTTCATCCCCACAACCCCTGACAACCACCACCAGGAGACACTGTGCAAGCGCAGATGGGAGGAGTTTATGGAAATTGAACTAATTTTAATATGAAGTGGGGACAGGTTATGATTAGGCATATTGTGAAACTTCATGCGTATGTAACACTACTGCATATGACCATGGCAAATTGCCACGTCAGGTGCACACGATTTTGGTGGGACTACCCCCCATGCTGCCCATTGCTGAATAAACATACCTACTTTACAATCTTATTGATTGTGGAGTCTGTTTTCCTCAAGTCAATACATACGTGACCTTTAAAGAAGTTTTCAGTTTTCCTTGTGGAAATGCATATAATAAATGTAAGCCTTGAAACAGTCTTATATTGTATAGTTACTTTCCATAAAGTGTTGCTTGCTCCCATGATGAAGCCGACAATTTCCAGTTTAAACACCACTAATAGCAACTCAAACTTGAGGGAGAGGCAGGTCTGTGGAGTGGTTTTGCATGAACAGTGAGTAAATCAATACACTTCCTGCTCATAAAGCCTCCTTCCATTGTTTTGGTTGAAGGTTCTGTAAAAATGGACTTTTTCTGATCTGAACACAGTCTGGAGTCTCAAGTATTTGAGTAAACTTGATTATTTTAACATGCAATAGTTAACATGTAAGGTGGTCTCACCTTAGAAAAATAGTATATAGAAAAAAGCATCTGGTAATAGCTAGGAAGGTATCAGCAAACCGGTCCTTTTGACAGAAAAATACTGCGAAGTTACCTCTATGAAGACTCTTCACTTCAACAACTGAAAATTTTTTGGAAATAGCATTCTGGGAAAAAATAAACAACAACCACCAAACACCATTCTAAATAACTGTCCACCTACAGATAATATAATCTAGGAAAAAGGTTTTAAAGTACATTTAAGTTAAGGTATTTGTGGAGTTTGGCCTCTGGTTCCAGTTATTACTGAATAGTCTTGTTACACATTTTCCCTTTCAGGGATACTTATTCAGGTAAATGCTCATCACAACTTGGTATGTGCAGAACTTCTGTATTTACTGTTCTGTAATTATCTTCTATGGGAAACTAATGACAAAAATGTTATGAGGAAATGGATCCAAGTGTTTAAGCAAATTCAAATGTCTGGACTGGGAAAAAGCTGGCCTTCCCTCTGAAAAAGTTGGCTCAACAGAGCGCTTTAGGTGTGTGCTGCTGTTCAAACATATGGATTAGATTCACTGATGTCAGCAGGACTTTCCACAGTTTAAAATGAGGATCATGTTCAAATCTTTTTCTTTTGGGTCCAACAGACCATTCCCTGTTCTCAAGATTATAAAAAGCATTCCCCAGGAAAAGGAATTGCACTGGGCAACAGATAGGCTTTAGAGAGTTTGAGTCAGGCTGAACTCAGTGCTGAACTCTGCCAACACTCTTGCAGTCTCTCATGCTCAGGATTAACTTCACCCTCCTGGGCAGCTGCTGAGAATTATTTCCATTCATTATTGCAAGAGGAAAGTTTTTTATGTGTGAGCATTTGTGTAACAATCCTTTGCTGTTGAGGCACACTGATGCAGAGCCCAACCAGGCTGTGAGGTTCTGCTGCCTGAATCTCACCTCCCTATAGTTAGCACTTACATTTGTATGTGTTTTAAACTTCATGAGAAGACTTACTTAACTTACAATAACCATTTACTTGAAATTACCTCTACTGTTTTTTAGCTAAGGTGTAATGCCATGCTAGCTTTCTGAGACAAGATACATGTATGCTGCAATGTAATACATATAAATACATATATATTTTATTTTCCCACATTCTAAAAAAAATGTAGCAAGCCGATTCATAGTTATGTATCTGGAGAAGGAGAATTGACAGCAACTCTTTTGCCTTTGACCTAGAAGAAAGCTGTGCTGATAGAAGGACTCGTAGGAGAATGAAATAGAGTGCCTAATTGCAAATCGTTATTTATGTTCAAAATCCTTGGCACAGAAGATGGGTGACAATGGAGTCTTAGAGCACTGGATTTCTTTGAAAAACAGACCAGAAGCCTGAAAGGAAAAAATTAGAAAAGTAATTTCTCTGACAAGTTACATAACATTTATAATTTGAGAGAAATCATCAGAAGAGGAAGGGCTCTCCAGCCTTTGTACTTATGGAAAATGAACACAGTTGAAGGGAATAGCAAAGCCCAAGGTATTTATATGTGTTTTCTGGTTGCAGATGGACCAAACCATCTGCAGACATCACTAGAAGGTCATGAGAGACAACACCCAGAGAACGTGTTTTGGTTCAGAAGGCTTGTCCCTGCTGCCATGAGTAACAGATAGCTGAGAACCACTAGGAAGTAAAACTGAAATTTCATTTCACTGAGGCATGCTAAGTGAAAGCAAGCCCAGAGGCCCATCTGGAGTGAGCCTTCAGCAAATCCCTCTTTGCCAAATATTCCTACAGGATGACAGGAGAACACCAGGAGGTGTGAAGGCCCTCAGAACCCTATGACACCACCACTGTGTCACAAGTAGTCGAGTGGCCCAGAGAACAGCATCAGTTGGGGACAGCCCTGAGAAGCATCCCACCATTTGGGGACAGCCTGAGGGCTGCTGCCTAAGCCCCAAGCAGGATGGAGTTTCTGGGGACCACACAGGTAGCCAGCTACTGTGGCACGAAGAAGAGATGCCTGTTCCCAGACCCAGCCCCCACCAGCACCACCAAAGACTCCTACCAGTCTTACTACCTACCGGGATACCGCCACCTCAGCTCCTGGAGGCCCAGTCTGCTTCACAAAGTGATTTCAGTCCCTCCCAGCTCTGATGAGCCATATAATCTCACTGGGCGGCCACCTACCGTTCTGCCCACATTACGGTCTGCCCTGCACGCGCGCTACAGCACTCGTGACTGGCACCATGCAAACATGGTTCAATTAAAAGGCTCTGAAACCTCCAGGTACTGGGCTGGTAGGCTAAACACGGATTCAGTGCGACTGATGCAAGATAAGGACCAATTGACTTATCAGATGCAAGAAGACAGTAGAAGAAACCTGGGAGAGAGGATCTCCAACATTGATTTCTGGAGATCTGAGCTTGTCTATGAGCTAGAGTGTCTGTTGAGAGAGACCCAAGCCTTGGAAACCGCAAAGAAGCGTCTTGAATGTGCTGCAGATGAAATACAAGGACCTCTGAAGGTAGGTGTGACACAGCTACTTACTTCATGACTGTGTTGTGGAATGGGTAAAGAAAATAGTTTCCTCTTTGTTTAATACTTTTAGGACTTTCACTATTGTCATCAAGACAGATCTTGGTCAAACATTATTCTCAGTAAGGAAGAAGCCTGGCCACTGTGGTTTTTGCACGTACTAGTCAATACATGAACCTGTCAAGACACTTGTATGTCCTCTTTTCCCTCCTTTCTGACACTCCAGGAGGCTGTCTCCCTCAGTCACTGGTCCATCAGCTCAGTACCTTCCAGGAGAGCAGAAGATGGCCGTGTGAGCTGCAGTGTCCTGATATTGTATTCTAGCTCTGAATTTTTTTGTGATTGCTTAGGGAAAGTAACGTTTTCTCTTAAAATGGCATGTCATTTGTGTTATATCTTGAAGTTCTCCAGAATCTTAATGGCAAATTAACTGCAACAGAGAAAGCCACGGTGATGTATGAGCCTATGAATGATGCTAGCAAAAACTCAAAGCATGCAGAAACTAAAGTCAAAGTTATCAAAATCTGGAATCTTGTAGATGAAAGCTGTTTTATCAGAAATGTTTCTATACAGGTACAAGTAGATAACCAAAATTCAGTATTCAATAATGACATTGTGTGTATCTACATGGATTCAGACTGACAGGCTGAGGAGGCTTTCTATTTAGGGAACATTTTCCGTTGAAAGGCTTTGTGCCAACTGAAGGTGTTTCATTTACTGCTATGGTTCTAAACAAGTGGCTGAGACATTACAAGTAAAGTCAGCCTGCTCAGACAGGTTAACTGGACTCATGACTGTAG